CGACTGCGCACTCGGCTCGTTCTCCAGACAGCCCGCCCTTCACGTCGGCCCGCGGGACGGGCGGCCACGTGGGCCCTGCAGCCCGAGGGGCCACGTACCTGATCGGGTGGTCTCCGCACGTCTTGGGCCGCTCCATGACCGACACCCACTTGTCATCGTAGCTGAAGAGAGACAGGTCGAGGTAGGGGCTGCCACTGTAGGACTGGGCGCTGATGGGGAGCTGGCCCAGCAGGCGGCGCACGGCCTCCGTGTGCCCTCCGTACTTGGCGTTCACGATGGTGTCCTTAAACCTGCAGGGAGGCACCGCGGAGACCCGTGAGCAGGCACGGCCGCCGGCTCCGACTGACAAACACGCTGACGACGACTCGGGCTGTCAGCGGAAACCGAGACCGGCCCTCGGGCATCACAAGGCTGCCTCCACGCGCAGAAAACAGAAGGAACATTCGGTTACTTGAGAAAGTTCGCCAAGGCTGTGAGAGGTCAGTGGGATCTTACCCACGGCGACCGTGTCTGCATAAACTTCCCCAGGTGCAGGCGTGAGGCGCCAGGCGGGCGACCCCGGGAGTGGGCAGCGGCAGCCCGCTCCCACGAGCCTCCCGACAAGCCCCTGGGCTGTTCCACAAGCTGGCGGCCTCCGCGGAAGCCCAGCGCGTCAGGCCCTGGCTCCGCACCACTCAAACCACACGGCCTCCCTGCTGCTGCTCCCAGGCACCAGCCCACGGGAGGGCCTCTCACCTGGGACACAGCTGCCGCTGGACCTCACAAGAGCCCGGCAGTTCCCCGTCATTCTTGCCTTGTGCTGAGGCGGCTTCGGGGAGGGGCCGCGGGCTGGTCTGAGTGCTCCTGTTAAGAGCTTAGCCGAGCCCGACACCAGCCGGCCTCCCAGCTAGCTTGGGCACCGAGGGCCTCCAGCCTTTTCCAGAGTTGTCTGGCAACCTGCTCGCTGAGAGTTAGTTTTTGGTCTGGAGTGGTAGGCCGGCTGTCACCCCCTGGCTCGCCATCTCCTGTCACTGTCCTCTGCCCACTCCCTTTGCTCTGTGCCTCTGATCCCTTTACTGTCACTGTGGTGGGGTCTTGGGATGGAGCAGAGATAAATGCGTGAGTTCTACACGCGCTGAATCATGAGCTCAAAAAGCTCTTCCTATTCATTCAGCAATTAGTTAAGCCTTTTGCAGTGGACAAGATGGAACGGTCACGCCTCAGTCCACCTGGTGGCCTGGACAAGGCCCCGCCGTGAGCCCTCGGTGCTGAGTGACAATGAGGAGTTCAGGACGCCACGAGGGTCCTGAGAAGCAGGCCGAGAGTGGCTGGATGGGCAGAGGACGCCAGAGGGGCCCTGGAGCCCTGGCACTGGGACCGGGGATGGGGGTGGGGGCAGCGCCGGAGGGCAGACGGCAGCTTACCGGCGCTGGATCTGCCTGGCAAAGTTGTTGCTGGAGGCCGAGCAGGGGAACTGCACCTCGCTGTGCAGCGTGGCGTTCCGGAAGAGGTCGCAGAAGTTCTCGAACAGCTCTAAGAGCTCGTCGGACGTGTTCTCAAACACCGCGATCACCTCAGTTGTCACCATGTTGTACACCACAAAGAAGGAGGCCTGAGGAGGAACGCAGAGGTGAGGCCCGGCCGGGCCCGAGGCGCACTCCGAAACCGTCACCTGGCCCATATTCGAGCACCACTGGACGCGCACCCCACACGAACGCCGGCTGCCCCAGGCCTCGCGGGGCCCTCAGGCCGCTGCTCCCCGCAGAGGGGCAGCAGCCCTCACCGGCCGGCTGCAGGGGAAGGGCTTTTGCAGTCCTTCACGTCAACCTGAAGAATCAGTGTTCTTCCTCGAGTGTTTACTCCCAACGCACTCCCCAACCACCCCGAGAGAAAAAGCAGGTTTTTGAAACGCCAGGTTTAATTTTCCTTCCTGCTGAGAAGGTGGTTTGCAGCCGGGCACCGCCTACTGGCAAATTACTTTCTTTGTGTATGTACAGTTGAAAGTTCACTGTGGGGACATTATTTTCCCCTCTTAATGTTCCCAACAGTGTGTCCTGAGCTGCCCAGGCAAGCTGCCCCATGCCGAACAGATGAGCGAGCGGAGGCGCCCTCCGCTTCTCCTCCAGCGTGTGTGCCTGTCAGCCTCGAGCACTGTGAGGCAGTCGGGACTGCAGCGGTCAAGGTAAGAGGCATGGGAACGGCGGCCAGCAGCCACAGGCCACGCAGCTGCTGCTGTGCTAAGGGGCCCAGGGTGACCGGCCTTCCCCTCTGGGCCCCCGGGCTCCGCTTGGCTAACAGGAAAGCTCCAGGAACCCGTTTCTGGCAGGTGCATGTGGCCGTGTGAATCAGTCATGCACTTCCAAAAGGCTCTAGAAGCTTTCAGAACACTGGGACTCGGAAGCGCTCTCCTGTGACTGACTTCAATCCCGAGGACCAGCCCCCGGCCCACCTGTTAGCCTGTTTCCCAGTCCTGCCCGGGGCTTCCACTGCACCCCCGGGAGCTAACCTTGCTCCAGACTGGCGCAGCTGGAGAGCTGAGAACTAGGCCCCGGTGCGAGCCAGGCTCGGGATGCACTTTTTACTCTCTAGCGTCCTGGAACCTGTCAAATTAAGCGGGAGCAGAGGGGGCCGCAGAGGCAGGCCGCAGTCTCAGAACTGCAGCGGAGCACACGCCCCAGGAACCTCCAGCTGCTCCTCACCGCGGCTACGACACGCGGCAGCTCGCGTCTTAGCAGAGCAGGCAGGGGACCTCGAACGCGGCAGCCGCTCGTTCCCTCCACATAAAAGGAGCCGGGTCCCTTCTACAGACCCAGACGACACGGCGAGCCCGCCGGGGCACCGGGGGCGCCCTCACGGTTACGTGCGTACAGTACCGCCCCGACACACCAGCCAGGCCAGGCGGGTGCAGTCGGGGGCCTCACCATCCCTGCCCCCAACACACCAGGTGCAGTCTGTATCACCCAGGGTGGCCCCTGGGGGTGTCACCACAGACGGGTTAGGAGCCCACACAAACGGCCTCCCACGGCGTTGCCCCTCGTCCCCAGGATACACAAGCTGGAATTCAGAAGCGGCGAGGCCTCGGGAGCCAGCCCCCCGCCCCAAACCTCACTAGGAGGGTCGGCAGCGAGACCTGCCTGACTCGGGGACATCGTGGTTTATTCCCATCCTGACCCCCCCCAAGCTCGGCTCACAGGAGACAGCCTGACACAAGCCTGAGGGAAGGGTCGCCAACGTGGCGGGACGGGCCCAGTTACCCAAAACTGCGGCGCCTGTCTTCCTGCCCCTGCACCCCCAGCCTCAGCGGCTTCTGCGCTGGGACACCAGTGTGTTCCAGGCCTGGGGGGGGATTCCGACCCTCCGCAGCCTCTCACTGCGCTGCAGCCCGGCGCCAGCAGGAGGCAAGGTCGCCAGGCCCTCCCCGCCAGTGAGCTCACCCAGGGCGCCTCTCCACGAAGCTGGGGCGCGGGGGGGCGGGGGGGGATGTGCCCCGGAGGAGAGCCGAGCTCTAACAGGGTGCACCAGACCGGCAGGCCAGCCTCCCAAAGGCGCGCCCAAGACCCCAGGCCGCCCGCCTGCGCCTCACAGCACTGGGCTCCCGCCCCGGGGAGACGATCACAGAGCTGGTGACCGCAGCCGGCGGACGGAGGCGGCCGAGCAGGGCGGAGCCGTCCCCTTGACGGCTGGGCCGCGGACAGGTACATGCCCCGGCGAAGTCTGGCGGAGGCGGCCCCGCGGCGGCCGGGCCACAGGGCGGCGGCGGCCAGTACCTGGGAGGGGTCGGTGACGCGCAGGGTGACCACGTCCTCGCTCGTGTACTTGATGAACAGGTGGTTCTCGTCCAGCAGCTGCATCTTCCACATGCGCAGCTGGCGCAGCTGGTCGAAGTACTGGAAGAAGCGCCGCTTGGCCGTGGCGCTGCCGTCCTGCTCGGCCCGGCGCCACAGGTACGCGAGCAGCCGGTGCTTCAGCGAGTTGATGAAGGGGTCCCGGAAGGGGCTGGCCGTGCCCGCCGGGCCGTCGCGCTGCGCCTCGGGGAAGACGGCCGACACGGCGAGCAGGTCGTCCTCGTAGCAGAAGCGGCCGATGGTCCTCACGTCGACGAACGTGCCCTCGGGCGTCACCTGGAAGACGTGGATGGTCTGCTGCTGCACCGACAGGATGGCCAGGATGTTCTTGTACAGGTAGAGCCCCTGGTTGTGCGACAGCACCACCTTGTCGCACTTGAAGGTGCGCGTGTCGCACAGGCGGCCGCTGTGCAGGTCGATGATGTGCAGGGAGTAGTCCTCCAGCGGGGAGCGCGGGTTGGGGGTCACCGACTCGCTGTTGCGGTACACCTCGTAGAAGGGCGGGTGCGGCTCGTCGGGCAGGTAGGCGGCGGAGCCCACGATGACGCAGCGGCAGTCGTCGGTGAAGAGGCTGCACTCGCGGTTCAGGTGCTCGCCGTGCGCCGCCACGCTGGTGATGTGCAGCAGCACGAAGAAGCGCTCGAAGAGCCGGCCGCGGATGCCCGCGGAGCGCTGGTCGCCGCCGCCGGCCAGCACCTCCCCGTCGCAGCCCTGCAGCAGGTCCTCGGCCGCCTGGCAGCCCTGGTACTCATAGATCTCCAGGGACGTCTGGTCGGAAGAGAAGGCGATGAAGTAGCGCCCGTCGGGCGAGAACTTCCGCAGGAAACAAGGCGGCTTCTCCACGTTGACCACGGTGAAGTTGGGGAAGACGTTCTGGTGGAACACGCGCACCTGGTGCCAGTGCGTGCCCGCCCTGCCCGAGCTGATCCTCCGGCGCTCCAGGCGGTGAATGACGTTCTGGTTCTGGATCCTTCGGGGTTTGATGGTGGAGACATGATGATCCATTATCACATCGCGGCCTGGAAGGGGAGGCGACGTCGAGAGGGTGAGACACGCCTCTCCCAAAACGGGGAGCCCACTGGCCCCCGCGCCCGAGACCCGCACTCTCCCTCCCTGTTGGGCGGGGGCAGCGCCTCACTCACGTGAGAGCCCCGAAAGCACTTAGCCGCTGGGCCCACTCAACAGAATAAACCTTGATGTGGGCCCAACGGGCTAAGCCCGGGAGTCAGGCTGGCGGGAGTCAGGCTGGCGCGCCACTGGGCGGTCAGGCTGCCCGAGCCGCCGCAGCGGCATCCCTGCAAAATACCAGAGGGTTTTTTTTTTTTGCAATAACTGAAAACGTCATTCTAAAATGTAATCTCAGGAGACCTGAAGAAGCCAAACAATTCTGTAAAACAGCAAAGTTGGGTAACTCCTGTTTGTGGTTTCAAACCACCTTACAGTACCAAAAGTGCGACCCCAGAGTAACACCAGACACGTTCACCCGAGGCACAGAGCCCGCAGTACAGCACAAACCTGAGGTTCGGGAAGCTAGCGGAGCCTCAATCATGGCAAACCCAAAGAAATCCACACCCAGAAGCATCACCAATTGCAAAAACCAAAAACGCAAAGTAAACATCCTGAACGCAAATAGGTAAATGATAAACTGCTCTGTAGATTTCTCAGGCCAAAAGTGAAACGTTCAGATTCAGCCCTGGAGTCGGCTCACACAGCTCTCAGGGCCTGACGTCCGGGCCCAGGGGGGCCCGCTTCGCGCCACAGTAGCCCACCTGCTGTATTTCTTCAGTCCTTTACCACTGTGACATTACCTCGCTGGGCTCTGCAGGACTTCCCTCCCCACGCCAGACAGCACCGCCTCACCCGCTTCTTTGGGGACCCCAGCCCTAGAGGGTGCGCGTCCTCACAGGGCCCCGGCATGACAGTGAGCCCCAGCACGTGGGAGCAGCACCTGGGCTCCCCGTACTTCAAGTGACAAGATGGATGTGGCTGCTGTGACATGCGCACACTCCATTAAGGTTTCAACAGTTAGAAATACCAAGCAGTGTGCAAAAGGCTGCACTCAGTCTTCCTGGGGCCCCCAGTCAACTGCCCACGCCCCACGATGGGGGCTGGCGTCGGTGGGGGAGACCAGCAGGGGATGAGAGCCACAGGACGCGCAGGAACGAAGAGGAGCAGGCCCAGACGCCATCCAGGCCGCCCACAGCTGCGTCTGACAGCTCCGTGTGGAAGTTCGGCGTCGGAAGGCCACTGCTCACGTCACGCAAAGTGACGCCTAACGCTAGGAAACTCATGTCCATTTTGAATGGTCCCATCTTAAGTTCTGTGTTTTTAAGGAAGTGACACCGAGGGTGAAGGAAGTGCACCTGGGGTGGACAGAGAGGAAAGTCCGAGCATCAGCTCCAAACTGTACAGGAAACTCACTGGATTTTGTGACATTTCTGGGTGTCCTGTGTGTGTGTGTCTGCGTATAACTGCACATCACCCAGTTATGCTGGCTGGAGACACAGTGAAATTCAAGTCTTTCCCCACTTTTCCAATAGGAAAAGTGAAATCATGAAAATTACATGCAGGCTAGTAAAAATGGCAACAATATCCAAAAGTTCCTAGCGAAGGTCCCTTCCAATCAGGGTGGGAGTCAGAGAGTAACAGCTTCCTCCCACAGCTGGCCCCACCAGTTTCCCCGCGGAATGGTCTGCCAAGGTTTCCTCCTTCTGCTCACCCTCACCCAGCCCCAGGGGTCCCCAGGCTCTCCAGCCCTCCACTCCTGCTGCGCCCTGCCCGCGCCCGCTCCAGGGGCCCCAACCTCATGCTTCTCACACAGCAGTCCATCCACTCCTGCCCCCTCCAACCCATTCAACAGCCAGTGACCATTTCCAAATGCTCTGATGCTCACGCCCTTTCCCGAGGGATC